GGGGGGGGGGGGGGGGGGGGGGGGGGGGGGGGGGGGTGTTTCGCTGCGTGTGTTCCAGCGATATGTAGCTGGTGGCACGAGTATCAGCGGCCAGGATGCCGATGTGGCCATGGACAAATGTCTTACTTATCCTCTAGCCCACGTGGAAGGCGGGGCGGGGCGGTTCTGACTCGTGGATATCATTCAGCCTCGCACCTACCCTCTCGGTGGGGCCAACTTCTCTTTGCGGGGCCCCCACCATCGAGATCAGGAAGAGCGTGGGAAGGTTGAAACGGGTGGGCCATAGTTCAGGACCACCTCTCAACAGAGAAGAACAACCAACGCAGCAGAGCAAGAGAGGATGACCATGCACAAGCATTTCCGTCCTCCCCACCCCAGCTGTGAATGGTGAAGTGGACTAGGAGGGGGAGGAATTCCACCTCAATCGGGACCTATTTCTGCACGCCACTCGTATCGGGGCTGCGGCTGTACGCGGGAACAGAAAACCGATCAATCGTGAGCTCTATGGGACAGTGATGGAGATAGAAAAGGAGTTCAACCCTTACCTCAAGAGGGCACTTCTTCCGCATGACATCCATGTCTTTGAGTTCCTCCGGCCGCACCTGAGAACAGAAAACGCAAAGACGCAAAACGACACACCACGCGCACATCTCGTTACACAACACGGCATCATCGCCCAGTGGACGGTCGTGACCGGGTCCCAGAACAAAAAAAAACACAGCATACAACGAAAGCGGTAGGTTCGCTAGCAGTTTCCTAGGAGACGTAAACCTGAGACGCTACGGAGGTCGAATCAGCAGCCATAACCTCGTCGAAATCGGCGGCGGCGGTAGTGAATGGTTGGCCGCCCATTTTTCATGACATGAACAAAAAATAAATGAACAAGAGACACGGAGAAAGGCATTGATTCACTCGTACACTGCTGTGCCCTGACCTGGTCGATTTCGTTGGCGACGTGGTGGTTTGCCGCTTCTTTGTCAGAACATTCGAGAACAACAAAAAAGAAAAACAAGACGCGGGATCACTGGTGTGCTGGCGTACCTTGACTTGGTCGAACTCGCTGGCGAGGCAGACGAGGTTCACAGCGGCGGCATCGGTCAGCGTCGGCATCATGGCGTCGTTGAAGCGGAACACGCTCTCGTGGCTGATGTAGAAGTGGGAAGCCGCGCGGCCCAGGTCGGTGACCGCCAGGTTGCCGGAGCGTCGGTCGAACCGCAACATCTGTTGGCATTGGGTCAAGGGGCCGGGGAGGGAGGGGGGGGGGTGTACTCATAGTCGTGCATGCCGTAGTCGTTAGACCATTGACTTCGCATCCCTACAAAGCCGGGACGGAGCACGCCGGGTTTTCACCGGACCAGGCTCTCACATCACCAAGCGCGAAGCGCCGTGAGGTATTCGGCGAGTCGCATGAAGGGTGCGCTGCATCCTGCTAAGGGTGTTCGGCATCTTGTGCTTGCTTTCTTGCGTATGGGAGGCGTATAGATGTGATGCGGGGATGATTTGGTCGCCCAGGAGCCTCGCACATGCGCCTCGATCACGGCTCGTGTTTTTCAGGGCACAATGCTTCGCATCTTTGGGCAACCCACCACCTTGAGCGGGGTGCAGCATACTGCTACTTTGAAGCAAAACACTCGGCACCAACCACAGAAGTTGAGAACAACGCTGGTCAGACAACCAACACAACTACACCGTCACCGGGAGCAACTGCGAACCGGGAACAGCAGCAAAAACAACGTACCATGACCAAGAAAGGTTATTGATCCCACACATACAACGAGCGAGATAAATCTTGACCCCAAACCTTGTGGTCATCGAGCGTCTCTGCCGCCTGCACGATGAGCTGCCTCCTCCTCTCCAGCAACATGGGATCGGCCTCCCTGTCTGAGAGGGGGACTCCGTAGGCCATTGGGTTGCGCCGCATCCGGACGTGTAGGTACGTGTACGAGAGCCAGGTGATGCCCTGTTGAGTCGGCCAAAGCACGCGCAGACGGGGGGAAGACACGTTGCTGATTGTTGTTGTTTCTATCGGTGTTCTTACTTAGTTTTGCTATGTTATTGTCGTTGTTGCTGATGACTTGTTGATCTTCGTTGTCGTCGTCGTGGCCGCCGCTGCGTTGCAAACTTTTCTTGTTTCTGACATTTGTCGTGCTGGTAACGTTTGCTGGTCTCGTTGTTAATGATGTTTCTATCTTCCAGCCCACCCGTCGAGAGCTTCTGCGTGGTACCCTAGCCTTATCTCGTACAGATCCGAATCAACGCCAGTGATCAAAAGCCCAAGACCGATGCAGCATAGACTCTACCGCATGACTAGAGCAACAAGCAGGGCTGGATTCGGGATCATCACGCGTTCCCCGGGGGCTCCGTTTACCGTTGCCTTGAGCCTAGTTCCAAGATTCAATCCATACGTCAATAGAGTTTTTTTTGGGGGGGTTCTCAACCGGCCATCACGGCCGTGCCGACACTGTTAACGAGAAGAACACAACCCGAAAGACGAAGATTCGGCGCAATCTTAAGCGCTGCCTACCTGAAAAATTTTGCGCTGCAGCGTCCCACGAAAGTACGTGGGGCGGCAAGCGCATTACTCGTACGTTCCCCCCGTTTCCCGCGAAAAACGCAATTTCTTACAATCTCTGCCAGCACACACTCATGCAACGGCGGAATCCCCGTTCGCGCCTACGGCCAGCCAACTGCACTTCTTGCCCACTCGCCTCTTCAACGGTCGTCACCGTCCCCGAGGTAACCTCGGCGTTGAGGTGGTCGGGCAGGGCCTTGATGAAGCCGCTCTCGATGGGCGTTTGCTTCGCCAGCAGGGCCAGGTATCTATTGGCGGTGTTTTGTCGCCATTTCGGCGCGGATCGTTCGGAGGTTAATTGCGTCGTAGATCGTTTCGGCACAGCACTACTTGTACGCATTCTCGTGAACTCGTGTATTTTTGCTGATACCAAAAGCGATCATACGCACGAATTCCACCTCGACAAGGACGACAACAGCAAACAATCAAAGGGACTCCGACGTAACCCTGCCTACGAATACAACGTGCGCTACTACTCTAGCACCAGCAACCACAGCATCATCCACTATTGTTCCACGACTGTGCCTATATACACGAGACACGTATATCCATCTATATCCATCACGACACAGTATCAGTGCTGTGCCGCTGGCTCATGGAACGACACAGGAACAGAAGAAAACGCACAGCATGGTGACAGGGCTTACTTGTCGAGCGACTTGTGTGTTGTGATCATAATTGCTTCCCCGCTGGTGTCATACTGAGGCCGCCCAGCACGCCCAAACACCTGGAAGAAGAAGCAAACAAACGACCGGGGTTACCAAATATCGGGGACATCACTCGGGCGACATTTCGAGTTCAGAGGGTACAGTTGGAGGAGGGGTCGCAAAGTCCAGGGAAAAAGTCTTGAAAAGAGCAGAAGGGATACGTCTGGACTACCCATGACGTGTGAAGCGCAAGGTGGTCGCGGCTGTGGCGGCCGGGAAGCTTGGCTGAGAGGGGATTCTAATTCAGCGGACAGTAACCACCCTCAACATCGACATCGTTCTCTTCTAGCACATTTTGTACGTATGCTCCCGTCTTCTACCGCCTTTCTCCGTAGCAAGGCGTTTCCCTCTTTCGCGTTTGTTCACCCAATGTAGTGGTACAATAGGCTTGTGCCTGCTTCTCAAGCCTGAAAAAACGTTTCGTACCAACCGAATAACAAAATAACAGACAGACCAAACTCTCTACCGCTTCCAAGCGCACTCCTCCTCTCGGCCTGCACAGCAGTGTTGGGGTGCCTCACCTGGAGCACATCGAGCATGCTTAGGTCCTGCAGACCACCCTTCTCCGGGTTGTAAACCTCCGTCCCTTTGATGATCACCGTGTGCGCTGGGAGGTTGACCCCCCACGCTAGGGTAGCTGTGCATACAAGCACCTTCCCTCAGAAAAAGAAGAGAACAAGAAAAACAGAAAACCGAACAGCTCAGGGTAATTTACTGTGGTTTTCAATCAGGTTCCAAAGGATGGGGCGCATCAACGACCAATAACAAGGGAATAAACAACAGTGGCCGTTTCCAAAGCCTGCAGGATGCAACTCAAACCAGATCAAGGCCAAATGTACCCTTGTTCTTGTCCTTTCACGCCAGGGCGCTGGCCGCAGGGTAGATTTGTGGTGCATCCAACGAAAGCTAAGCACTGTGCATACATCAGACAAAGTGCTTCCCCCATCAAGCGGCACCTTGATGGCGCCGTCTTCGAAAGCTCTCTCCGTCAGGCCCCTGTCGGCACGGAGCATCCCGGCGTGGTGGCAGCCCACGCCCGCCTGAAACAGGTCCCGCAGCTCCTTGTTGCGAGACTTTTCCACCTGAAACACCACGTCATCAACATCGCGCGGCGTTTGGCGCGGGATATGAGGTACACACAGTCTCCGCTAAGCAAGAAAAAAACACATGCCAAGAATACACGTAGATATCGCAGTCTCCAACTTTTCTCCAACACAAGGGTTTTTCGGAAAACAAAAACACAGCTCGGGATGGTTCGTACACTGGATCAAAGACAGTCAATCTTGGACGGTGGCGACGAAACAAAAGAGTGAGCCTTAACCCAGAACCGAGGTGTCTTGGTACCGGCCCGGTACAAGTGCAATGTGGCAACAACTCGATGACAATGATGCGACGATAGCGATGCGATCAGATACCCCGAGCGCAAGGCTTGCCGCAGCCTGCATTGCCAACATTGTCAACAGGAGCGGCCGGAGACAGCCGCGCCTGGCGCGGGCGCCTGGCGCGGGCGGCAGCCGTGGGTACACCGCCCACAAACACCAACGCGACGCCAAGCTTACACCCGCGAGCCATGTCTCTGAGGCAACCACGCATACGAAGCGTGCAAGCAATCGGCTTGCCTGGTGGGCGTGCCTCCCCCAGTGCTCCGAGTTCGCGCAGGAAAACTCATCGAAGGCGTTGTCCCGCTGGGCCAGCTCCAGGATGGCCTGCCTCCGCGCAAGCAGACACACAAGAAAACATGGCGAAGTTCACATACGCTGTCACGCAGAGGCAGAGCTTTTCTACAAGAACAGGAGGCCGTAGGCATACAGGCATCGGACCACAAGACCCCATCGCGAAGTTCACGCACGTAGGCACGCAGAGGTGAGGTTCTGGTATGAGAGTACGAGGGCGTAGGCATGCCGGCGTCGAGCCAAGTTCTTGGCTGAGCAGCTGACCGTCAAGCATGCGCTCCAAAGGCATAATCCGAACGCGAAATTTGGACGTACGGAATACAACCTGACATGTCTTTTCGGTCCCAATCCTGTGAAGCACGCGATCTTTTTGCCAAAGCGAAAATGTCACAGATGACATCACCCAACGCAGATCGTCAACACGCCATACCTGCGCGGTCCTGACGGTGTCCTTCCTTGCGTGTACGAAGACCATCACCTGGTGACCTCGCTGGAGCGACTCTCTCGTCCGTTCGTACGCCACTCGGTTCATCATCGCCTAAATATTGGGGGATACAATCACGTAGCAGCAGCAGCAGCAGCAGCAGCATTAGCAGGATCAGCAGCAGGAGCAGCAGCAGGAGCAGCAGCAGGAGCAGCAGCAGCAGCGGCGGCGGCGGCGGTGGCGGTGGCGGCCATATGAAAAAATATATGGGTTGCAGTTGGGCAGGAATAGATGGGAGTACAGCCGCAAACGGGTGAAGGCACAATCACAATCGATGCGGAGGCAGTGAAAGCGAGCTCACGCAGAAGATGGTGGAGATAATGGAATGGAAGCAAACAAACGCTGTTGTACACATTTGCTGATGGCGTTGGCAAAGAACCTGCGTAAGAAAAAATGCTGCACGAGATTATCTCAAACATTGTTACTTGGCGCAAGGCGCTCACGAATATTGAAGTAAATCCTTCCTCTTCTTGACCACCGGCCTGGACACCTAATATCGCCCCTCCGCCATCACACAAAACCCCAAGGCGAACCTGTCAACAACAGCGACACCAACGGTGACAACGTGAACAACAGAAACACACACACGGTCAACAACATCCCCATCCCTTCCACCGATGCCCCCCCCCCGACGCCGACAGCGACGGCAAACAGTGACCGCATTCACCTGCTGGCGAACCCTCTGCTTGTCGGTTACCCCGATGAACGTCTGCTCCAGGGGCACTGGCCTATGCTCCGGTCCAAAGTGGAACAGCCCTTTGCTCGAGTTCACCTAGAAACGAACAGGAACCAAGTCAGAAACGAAGCTGTGAGAACGAGAAACCGACGAAAAGGCGGGTGAAAACTCTTCGACGCAGCTGAAAGTTAGAATAACTCACAAACACATCGATCTGTCGTGCACTTTCCGCGTTCACGTGGAAACAAGCGGAAAAAATGAAAACACGAACGTGGCGAGTGAAATTTCATTTTCAGGCAAACTCGCACTGTGACGGTATCCACGCCGAAATCTCTGTCTTTCTCTTCTCTCTTTGTCTCTGTATCTGTCTGTCGGTCTGTCTCTCTCTCTCTCACACTCGCAAATACATACCCGCAAGAACGCAGCCACGTCCTGGTAGTTCGGCAGCGTTGCCGAGAGCCCGACCAGCCGTATGAGTGTCTGCGTCGTCTCCATGTACCGCTGCGTCCGGGCCACGATGCTTTCGATCACGGCGCCTCGCTCGTCGGCCAGCAGATGCACCTGTGCAACGACCCGTTTAGTGCCGACGCTAGTGCCATTGGTCATCCCGCGCTTTGCAGAATAGAAAATCGAATAACGGTATTGAAACACCAAGCACGGCCGCGTGTTCGACTGTTCCATTTGCAGGACGGCGGTGATCACCCTCAGCGTCGTAATCGGCACAGGATCCGGTCCTTCCCGTTGTCACTGTCGAGACATGTGACTCGACATGTGACCACCTTGTAATATCACGCATCGCCTCCGCATCATCCTCTTGCACCACAGTCTTGCAAAGCGCCACCAACAAGGTGGAGTTCGCTCAGCAGCTGCACCGTTCTCTTCGTCAACCGCTCAGCACTATACATGACTCGACGAGCACAAATGCATGCGCAAAGGAACATGACGAATCGAATTGTAGTGAGGTTAATATCGGCAATTTGTGTGGGCTTACCTCGTCAATCATGATGAGACCAACGGAAGACACCAGAGACCCGTCGCCGCCCTTCCTTGTGACAACGTCCCACTTCTCGGGGGTAGTCACGATCACCTGTCGTCGTTGTCGTCGTCGTCGTCGTCGTCGTCGTCGTCGTCGTCGTCGTCATCGTTGTTTTCGGTGGTGGTGGGAACTGGGAAGGCATCTTTCGCCGTGGAAAGGACACTATTTTCCGACTTCTCTAGGACACCCTTGTTCTATCCACAAACCTGACCGGAACCGGAATTCGTAGCGCAGTCACGCTGCAGACGACGGACGAGGTGCCAGGACAACAACAAGAACAACAACAACAACAGCACTCGTTCGCGCCGGGGAAATCATTTCACTCGCCTGCGAACCTTCGACCTCCTGCTTGGACAGCTGCATGTCCCCGGTGTACTCACGAACCACCTGGGGGGAAGGCGTCACATAGAACCATCAACATAAGCACCAACAGAAATACTAGTTGTAAAAATGGCGGCGCAAAACAAGCGAATTCCGAAAAAACAAAACCTTGATTCTGGGTTAGCCGGAACCAAACGTTGATTGCGTGCAACTACGACCACCACGCCACCTGGCTCACGCGACGGAAGCAACAAACTACCCACCGGGTGGGGTGTGGAAATCGGATGCAGTATGTTGACGGTTGTGGAGACACCATCAACGAACAAACACCGACGGGCGTCATCACCCATGTCGAAATAAGCAAACAGGGCTTCGCCTGCGCCTCTCACCAGTCCGAGGGGCTTAAGCCTCTGGGAAAACTTGGACACCACCTCCTGGGCCAGGGCCTTCATGGGGGCCACGTAGATGGCCTTGATGCCGCTGCGGTCGAGGGCACCCCCTCGGATGTGCTGCCTGACAAGCTGCGAAAACCAAAAACGCAAAATTCACAAAAAAAACGGGCAAGAACGTAACAAAACGCGTATATCTCAGCTCGAGAGCAAGATAACTTCAGACGAGCACAACAATACACCACACTCAGAAACAACACGACACGGGCAACACCTCACGTGTTCCACACGTCAGAACAACGCCCATCTGTGAGCGCAGCGGTACGTGAAACAGGGACGAGGTCACCTCTCCGCAGGCAACCTTGCCTGCAGAAGGGAGAGCATAGCCACGTTCGTCTTGCCCGCACCCGTAGGCGCGCACACCAGGAGGTTTTCGGAGGTCTTGAAGGCGGCGTGGTAAACCTGGGTGGGAATCGGGGGAAGGTGAACCACGATCATTAAGAGAAGAATCCTGCAAAAAAAAAAATGGAGCTCGGTTGTCCATAACAACAGTGGTCTTCTTGTCGATGTACTGCCGATGAAAGTTTTTTGAGGTGGGGTAGTCGAGCACGCCGAAGCCGTGCTGCTAGTGCCATGGGTCATACAGTAGTGCACCGTGGCCAAAGCGATATAAATATTTCCACTTCAGTCCATGTGCCGTAGCCATGTCGCTCCCGCCGTAGGTCGCAGTGCGTCGTGGCCAAAGCAGCTATTAAGGCTTCGTAACCTTCCTGTGATTCAACCACAAGGTTTCGCGGGGCCCTGTTGGCGACCTGCTCCGCGAACGAGCGAAGGGGTTATTCCTGTGTGATATCATCCCTCTCTCGGTGTGACATGCATGATGCGCGGGTATCGACACTTCATGCGTTCTCGTGTATTGAGATAGGAATAGGACGTTATATCGGAGCTAGAGGTCGCAGATTGCGAAAGAACAGAAGAACATCAACAGTAGCGTCGGTTCCGCGTGTTCTCATCAGCATCCCTGGATCGAAAAACGAAAGAAAACATCGGCGTGTCCCGGGCGTGTTGGTGCACTCGTCGAAGCTGAAGCCTATCCGACTGCGATGAAATCGCTAACTTCGACGCAATAAACGCGGTATCAGTCTACATCTTTCTGGCGAGAAGACGAACAAAATATTCACAAACGCATCTTCTTAACTGTCCCGTGGCTCCTTGTCAGGCATCAATCACTTGCCTTGCTCTGCATGGGGTTGAGCCGCTTCGTCCCCTTGAAAGCCATCTGGGCCCACGGCTCGAGGTCCGTGATCGGCACCAGACCTTCCCCGTCCTTGTTGCGGCTGAGCTTCGGGGGTGGGATATGAACCTGCGGTGACATCATCCCACAACATTTCGATCGGATGAACGGGTCCAAAGCATGAGAGAGAACAGGACGAAATGTTCACTTGGAACAATCGAAATCGTCCAAACTACACTAGCTGCCCCCTTCGTGGTGGTTGTTGTTGTTGTTGTTGTTGTTGTTGTTGTTGTTGTTGTTGTTGTTGTTGTTGCCGTTGTACTTCTCGACACTTCTGTAGTTACAATCGCACACTTGCATCGCAGTGAATAAACGAAAATGTTCGGAAAATTGGCATTTGGCTGAGAGAGTGGGCGACAGCAGCAGCGGTAGCGGCAGCAACTGCAACAGCACTGGAAACAGCAACAACACCAAAGTCACCAAACGAAATAGAAACACGAACATCACCAGCCAGTAGTGCTGCACCGCAAGCTAACTGTTTAACGCTACACGTTTAGCGCTTATCCCTTTAGACCCATCTTCGATGCTCTCGCCATCTCCGCCCTGAAGGGCGCTTTGACCTCCGCCCAGACCCTCCGCGCGTACTTGCGAACGAACCAACCATAGGTAGCAGGAACCCCCCCCCCCAACAAGCCCTTCCCTCGCTAGTCACTTCTCACTTCCCTCCATCATTCCTACTTGACAAATGCTCGATACTCCCGCAGCAAACGAACCACCCAACGCGTGAAAAACCCAATTTCCGGGGTCACCCCTCTTGTACCTGCTCGTACTGGCCGGCCACTACCGTCTTCGTGGCCCCCGCTGGCATGCCGGACCGGCGATCGTGCCACTCCCTAGTCCCCTCGGGCGCCAGCCCCGCGAGCATCATGGCCTCTTCGCTCTCGCCGCCGCCGGTACCGCCTGCCTGCAGCCCGAGAAGGCGCTCCTGTAGAACAGAAAAGAACCGACGAAAACCACCGAGGAAAATACAAGGTAAACAAAAAGCATGCATTTCTGCGAAAACCAAATGCATTGTACTTCGATTAGGATTTTTTCACTAATACAGTCGACCTCGCTTTAAAGACACACCACGTTTTCCCCCCAAAAAAGTGTCTTCAACGCGGGGAAGTGTCTATAAATTTCCGGGGCCACTAAGGCACCATCCCCGGGGCCAACGAAGGCGAAACATATGTCAAAAGGTGCGCATTCGCAGCAGGAAGGCGACCACAAGAGGGGTTGTTTGAAACCTACGACACAAGGTGATTTGAAGGTCGCAACCACTGCTGCTGCTATTGTGCTGCAATAGATACTTGCATACCATCGTTATAATTTCCCCGTACTGTACCACCAAAACGCTGAAAGCGATGGTGTTCTACGACCTACGCATCGTACATGTACACGACGGTAGTGCGCTGGTGTTGATACGGGCTTCATTATTTGCTTTATTTTATTTTTTAGGCGTTGTCCTCCCCGTGAATATCTTGCCCAAGATCTCGCTACCGCACCTGAGAAATATCGAAGGTTGAGAAACGACACCAGGAAATAGCAGGTTACGCAGAAACACAGAGACCGAAAATGTCGGGAAAGCACAGCGACAAAGAGGACACCGCGCCTCCCAAAAGGTCAATACGAGGCACAACACAACACAAACGCCAAATTCAACCTCACGAGACTTCACCCAAGGCAAACAACGAACGTTGGCAATAAAAGTGCTTTGCTCTCGAAACCAAAAACTACACCCGCCACATATCCCCAAGTGTCGCCTGCACCTCCCCGCCCCTCCTTTGCTCTTCGCTTGACCTGAATTTCATGAGTAAACGAATGCACAGTCTTTGAAAGGTACGCCGTTTCGCTGTACTCGCCGTCTCTTCCATGTGTGTACAAGTAAGAGCGGACATCTTCGAGACGTGAGCGAACCTCGCCCTCTAAAATCGTAGATTAATGCACGACTGGACTAGCAGATGGAATGAATCTTTCCATACACCCACACGCAGTGTGCGGCTGCAGCAGACCGCTGTTGATGATCCAGGATCTACAGGTGCTGCAGCACATTTTCTGAGGGGGGTCGAATGGTGGAAAACCCTACCCCCCTTACTTTTTCACATCTGCGGGGCACCATATTTCTGAGATTGTTTGTGTCCTTAAAGCGGGGAGTGTCTTTTAAAATGGTGTCTGTAAAGCGGGGACGACTGTAGTTGCAATTGTCAGGTTGGTCCATTGTAATTGGTTTTTTACATTCCCCTTCAAAAGTAAAGCTGTTGGTGTTGACCGTTCTCGCGGAAGCAAGGAAATCACGCGCACGCGTGACGGACTGTGAATCACCCCCGCTGGAGCACACACGAGACCCGGTTAACTCCCCCCCGTTTCCTTCCTGAGTGCATTTCTCAGTGTTAAATATCCAAAGACAGACCTGCTTCAGGTACTCCTCCTCGAACCCAACAGACTGCAGCCAGTCCAACCCGCCGCCACCGTCCCTCCCGCTTGCTCCGCCGTCTTGTTGGCCCTGACCGCCGGCGGCTCCCCCGCCGCGCTTGGCGGCCTTCTTGAGATCCTTTCGACGGAGCTTCTCCGCCTCCTTCTCCAAGGTCGACCAGATCTTGATCTGTCGGGAGATGGTCGGCCCAGACCTGTCCACAATTTATCGTGGGCGACAAGAGAATGCAACAAGAAGCTCGAATCGGCTTCTAGTCTACTGTCGACAAATATCGTGGACAACACCAAGAAAACAAAAAGAAAACCGAAGGGGAAAAGTATTGCACATGACGGCTTCCTAGTCTATTTTGTCGACAACAAAGGTTGCGGTGAACACAAAAGACACGGAGAAAAAAACGCGGAAACAAGGAGACCATTTCGGCTTTCTAGTCCACGGGGGAAAACAAGTAGAGAAGAAGACGGATGTAACTTCTGTTGGTTGAAGTAGTGTTCTCCGAGGTCTAGCAAATCTTGTTATCAACCGAGAGACGAGAAAGCGCTAAAAACGTGCAATACCAAGCTACCGAACCCCAAGCATGGAAAAGCCGACGCCTCCCTTACTGTCCACGAAACCACTCGCTCGCCAAGACAAACACGACGATTGTACCCTAACTCAAAACACGTTTGTACCTGCCGGTTGCGTCGTCCCCGCCCAGGCCCATCTCCGCCATCCCCGCCGCCAGCCCACCCCCGTCAAAGCCGCCGACACCTGCGGAGCCCCCGCCTCTGCCTCCGCCGCCGCCGCCACCGCCGTGGGCATCGGCAATCGCGAACAAGTCTCTCGCGTCGATCCGACCTAGCGTAGGCGCCTTGTCAATGAGTTCCATCATTAGCTCCAGGCCCGCCTCCCCCAATAGGTCGAACAGGGATCCCTGCGGAGTCAAACGAAGCAACGGGTGCCGACTTGTTGAGTGCTCGTTCTGACCCTTGGAGTGCAATTCAGGGCCGGACTGCTGCTACTCTGGCGACAGCACCTTCGGGCTCTGCTGCTGTTGCGGCCCACGGGTGGGGGAAGAAACAGCCCCAAGACTTTGGGGGGATTGTTGCTCCTCAAGCAAGGCTCATTCGGCGTCCTTTTCTCTACACCGTCGACTTCCTGCTCTCTACAAAACCTAGCCGACAGTGACTCTTTGTCTGGGCAGCTCTGCGGGAGTACGAAACGCTGTCCCCCCTCTCACGAAAATGCCGTCACCCCTCCCACGGAAATGCCGTCACCCCCGCTTTGGCCCCTTGAACACCATCGTGGAGAGGGGACCCGCCAGGTACCAAAAAGACCTAGCAGAAACAAGCATCGCTCACACATACTCTTGTTCGACTAGCTGTCGCCTGCCCGAACGCAACGGCCGCTTGATTATCGAGATAGCGCAGCTCCCGGGCTGCTCGACCTATGTATCCCTCTGCCTCCCTCAAAGGTTCATATTGCATTTTAATACCTGCAACTCCCCGGGGTCCGTGCTTCGGGAGAGGATTTCCAAGACGGAAGAAGCTAGGTCCACGGGGGGTAGGCCCCGACTCCCTTGCTGGGCGTGAAACTGCGTGCACCTGGAGGGACGGACGGGAGCAGGCGTTCTCAGGCCCATCGTGTCGTTGCGGAATTGTGCAAATAACGGAGGTTGTCGCTTTTGTCGCCGAATACGCAACCACCTTGTAACCTGAGGAGGAGGGAGGACGACGCGAGTTCCCGTTGTGCTCCCCAGCCGCCGCCCGTTCTTGGCAAGGGGGGTGGAAAGCTGGCGGGGCGGTGTGAAGGCTCGGAAAAAACAGCCCTGTTCCCGGGAGCTCGTGTTAACGTCATTGCCGCCAGCGCCACTGTTACACTTGTTTCTCGAAGGGTGGGGTGGGGGCGCATTCACGGCATATTATCAGCGGTAGGGGCGAACACACGCGCGAAACGTGCACCTGGAATAGAGCCAACCGGCGTCAAACGTTTCTGCGGCTGCAGCCGCTCCCGCCTCGCCTGCTTTTCCCGAGGAGGCGGTACCCGAAGCAAAGGGGGCGAGGACAGCGCCCCCCCCAGCGGCAGCGCCACCAACGTCCCGTACAGGGTGCTTCGCTTCCTCCTCGCCACCCAGCGAGGATGAAGATGCCTGGTCGTCGACCGTCACGTCCGTCCCAGGCCGCCACCGCTGCTGCTCGGAAGCCGCCGCCGCCCCCCAGTCGCCGCCGCCGCCGCCGCCGCCGCTGTCAGCGCTGATGCCGACAAAGCTTTCGAAGCTGTCGAAAGCGAAACCGCCCGAGGCTCCGCCGCCGTTCACGCCGGGAAACGCCCTGTCCAGCTCGTCCTCCGACTCCTCCGGAGCCCGCGCGTCGAGGTCGAAGTTGAACGAGATCTCGGAACCGAACAGCAGCGACCGCCCCCGCTGGCCTCTGGCTGCCGCCGACCCAGGCGCCTCTGGTGTTTGGAGCGGTCCGGCAGAGGGGTGCGGCTGTGATGCCAGGACGCGGTCACGCCTCCAAGCATGGAGCTCCTTGGCCAAGGATGCGGCGTCATCCCAGTCGCTCTCGGCCACCTTCCCCACCACGAGCTCGAGGTCCCTGCAGGGATAGGTTGAGGTATGTTGGTGCCGGTTGTTGCCTGTTCTCGTCATCGTGTTGCTGCTGTGGCTGTGTGGTGGTTGTCATTATTCTTGTTGATATACCATGGTACTCCTGTAGGGACCTTTCGCCTCTGTCGGGACGCAAGGTGGGGGACATTCAGCCGACACTCCCCACGCGCCAATGAAACAATCCTTATGCGATACAAGGCTCCAAACGACTATTCACATAGTGCGCCCTACGAACCACAAGCGAAGAAACAGCAGAAAGGAAAAGAAAACGGAACAAGTTTCGGCACTGCCGTGTAGTTTTCGCGTCTCACACTAGTGTCAAGTTTTGTCTGCCTAAACCCCCGGACCTAGGGGTGCAATCTGAAACGGCCGTGCCTGTGTAAGTGCCTGAGAAAGATTAAGCGGCGAGGGTGTAATACACAAGCCGGAAACTGCACCAGCGTTCGCAGAGCCCCTTTTTCCTGTGCACAAGTCGAGTGTCACTCCTGCTATAGGCAGGTACCAGATGACTCGAAGTTTGTCTACTGCGATTCCCCAACACGGGTCGTGTGCTGACAACACCACCAGCCCGTGTTCGAAAGAAACGCCGGTCGTGAAACCGCCAACACCTTCCCACGCCCATGAACAGCAACGCACCGGCTGTATTTACCCCAGGCTCCAGACCCTTGGGTCTGCCTCCCACAGAGACACGTCCTCCCTCACCTCTTTGCCTTGCCAGCAGCGTTCGGGCCCGCGTTGATCGCCTGGAAAAGCGCCCTGTCAGCGTTGGGAAACGCCGCGCCGTCATCCCCGCCCGCCAGCTTCCCGGCGAGCCTGCAGTACCTGCTCCCCGGCAAGCAAGACATTCGGGTATGCAAGGTCGCGCAGAGGTTGTGCATGTTGTCATGAAATGCTGTGCTTGAATATTGTACTCATGGTTGAGATACGCCATACAAGGTGGTCCAATACCATGTAGCAGAAAACAACTTTCCCTTTGGTTGATGAAGACGTGTTTGTTGTCCCCTCCCCCCCGCCCGGTTTTCCAGAGCACGACCATGGTCTATACACCATGTGTTCCTCAAACAGCAATAGAGGACACGACGGGCGAACGCCACAGCTGTTGGAAGGAAGAACAAGCTCGCAATCTGCCCCCTGCGAGTCGTTAGTCAGCAGCCGAGCTACATTACCTGCGAAACTTGTCTTGCTCCGCGGCGGCCCGCTGCGCTTCGCTCTCAGGCACTTTCTCGGTGAATGCCTTCCAGGAGAAGGGCGCGGAAGCTCTGGCGTCGGCCTGGCTCTTCCACTGGGACTCGGCCCTGCTTCGTGCAATCCCAGGCGGTGGAGTGTTGTTAATTTCATTGTTTCGCGGTTGAGTTTTCTGAGTGGTGTGGCTACTTATCTTCCAGTTGCCGCTAGCGATTCCCCTGCTTGTTGCTGCTAAGTGCTCTTCGTGAGTGCGTTGTGGCGAAACCGTCGCAAACGCCACCTCGATCGATCAACAAGTGGCACACACGGAGGATGACGCAGGCGAAGCACTCTGTTGCTGGAACCACTTTCCACCATTGTCCACTCTTGCGTGTTCTTGCCCTCAAGATCAGCACGGGAGAAGTAGATAAGTCGACCGAACTAATTTTCTTCGACAATACTGTAGGTGGTACTTCCTACATCTGTGCGTGCCTCGCAAGCTATTTCATAGGGTAGCGATAACTCCTGGGCGTCGAATTAACATTAAGCATATTGAAACGTCGGAGACGATCATAGGCACCCAATTAAGCTCGACCCCCTCTACGTGCTCCCCTCCTTGTCGGTACAATAAACAAAACATATCGGGGGTTCGCGCAAACGCGTGTTTCGTGTTGAGCAGATCGAATGATAGGGTCCAGCCGCAAAACGTTTGAGGAGTGTCTCAAACAAACTCGTTCTCAGAACGCGTGGAAGGAATATCGATTTCAATATGTCTCCATATTGCCATAGAGGGTGGTGGTGGCAGGATTGACCACGACAGCGCGTCCTGCTCGGCAAGACGAAATCTAGCCTACCAAAAGAACGTGTGTTCCGGTGGAATTTCCGCTGAAAGGTTAAGTCTTCTGCTGTCCGGCGAGAACCTGACGGTCGGGCGAAACATACACCACACCAGCAGATCCTTGTGGCCCCTTCATCCGCCACCTCTGCGCGGTCCCCGGCATCTCGTCGCGTATCGCGGAACAAGGGTAGCTCTCTCTCTTCCACCTACCCCCACGTTGTCCTTGTGGGACGTAGCCTGGGCCCGGCGAAAACCCGGCGTATGGTTCCGCCCCGTAACAACAGGGATGCGATGTCAAGGGTCAAACGACTACGGCATGCGTTTACAATGGCACAACCGCATCCCCATGCCAAGCAACCCAGACCACACACCTTTCTCTCTGCAGGATCTCAGCGTCGAGGTCGAATCCAGGCCCATCGCCCGCGGCGGTTCGTCGAAGCACCGAGCTCAGCCTCGGCTGCACGAGGACGTGGTGGTTACGGGCGAGCGGAGGGGGAGGCATGGGCATGGTTTGACTACTAGGGGTGCGGGGGCATTGCGGTACCACACCCGCGTATTACCTCGCTGCTGTGCCCCTACCACTACTGTTTTATATGCATTGCATTGCACCGCGCTTTTGTCTAGTCGATGTGTCCGGTGATGTTTCTCTCTGCATTTACACTTCGTGCGCCATTTGACTGTTCTACTGCTGTGGACTACAGCAGCACTGCGTGCTATGCACTTATTTGTTGCGTGTCATTGGTCATTCTGTGAAGGGGTGTCCGCTTTTCCGGCGCAGTGGGTTCTGCTGAAAATCGCAGTTACGCGCGACGTATGACCATCGAGGAGCATACGTTACGGTGGTAGACGAATATCAGTACGAGGTGTAAACCCGTTCTGCACTCTACACCCATGTTGTCTACCGCAGTGTCGTTGTCTACAGCAGGACTGCTACAATGATGCAAAGACTAGACTAGGTGTGTAAACTTGTCGATGTAGTCTGTAGGTTTCCGGAGTACTGCTGTTGTATTGAGCCCCTCCTTTAACCAGCCTTTCTTTGCAGGACAATAACCACACAAAAATAAGCAGTTAGAGAGGAGGCAGCAGCAAAAGTCGCACGACGCAATGGCGGTAGTCAGCGCCTTAACCGATACCTGATACATCCAACCGTCCGTGGAACGTTCCACTTGTTCTTTGTTCTGCGCCCAATGACGGCATGTTGGCGGAGGCAAAGATGGTGCGATCAGTAGACTACTCAACACTCACCGGGAGTCGTTCCACGAGTTTCCCTCCACTGCTCTCCGTTTCTCCCATTGTCCACACCAAACCAATTGCCGTCTCTATCGCCTATGGCGCCAACCCTGAGAGAAAATTGCACGGGTGTTGATGTTGCTATGGTCGCTGGTCAATGCAGCAGGGCCAGAGTAGAACTCCCACCGGGAACCGGGGACAACGAGTAATTGGGCCGCATTTTGTCATGTCACGTCAGCAATGTCATATCCCCCTTTCCTCCTGTCAGTGTCTCTCCTTGTCTTCAAAATCGCTTCTTACTCCAGAGACTAGGTGAGCGTGGCCTTCGAGCTTGTCCTCCTGGTGCCATCTAATTTGTTACGTACGCATGACACTCACACACGCAGCATCAATATTTGTCCGCGGCAGAGCAGGCAGCGGTATGTTAGATCCCAGTCGGCCGAGCCAAGGCTGTCGTGGTCGTCAGAGCAGGATCAGAAGCGAGCAGCCCCATAAATCTGTAGCCCACAGATGGCAGGACATCACGGCCGTCGTTCAGCCAAGCAAAGCGACCGCTCGTGGTGAAGAATGGCGAAGCTTCCACCGACCGGTCCCGTGGTTCCACCGGACATATTTTCAGTAATTCTTCGATGTTCTTCGATGTTTCCGTACGCCCACGTTGTTACATGGCTACAGTGGCCTTTTGTTCAACAGAGGGACTGGACAACCAAACTCTCAGCAGGGTTCTTGTTGGGTATTCGGTTTTATGTGTAGAACAGGATTTGAAAGGGTGCTTTTGTCCAGCGAAATAAAAGGGGTAACGTTATCGAAAGCAAAAAAAAAAAAAATGGAAAAAATGGCGGATCCATCTTTACTGGTTCGCTGCTGCTGTATCGGGAAGAAGGCGCAGTGTCAAATTTTGCTTGCGAGGTCAGCAAGTCTCTCCGCGTAGAAGTGAATCTGGCAACTTCCTCGCGTTCCCAGAGTGGTATCACAGCACCTGTGGTGGGCCTGCCCTGCTACCATATTCTCCCGATGGGTAAAGGGAAGGCGGGTGAGGAGTAGGCAATCGTGTTTGAGGCCTCGAAATCGACCATGTTCACGGGTTTGGCGTTTGAGATGAAATTTGCACCATCTACCAGTCGCTATCCTCGTTCAAGCGAAGCCCAAAGTGTTGCCCCCTCCACAACAAAAAGCCTCTCTCGGCTATTCATTCGAGCGTCCGAATTTTCTTGTTTTTTTTCTTATTTCGCCTGAATATGTTCATGCCATACGGAGTATTTGCGAAGTAGATTCAACCTTGTCGTGCCATAATGGCCTCCAATCACGTACTCCCGTTCGCCTGTGATATTTTCCTGTGGCAAGTTCCATAAAGGTGGGCGGGGCAGAGAGACGCGTTGCGAGTGGTTCCGTCCATCGCATCACGCCGTACACGAGAGAGGAGCGAGGAGGTGATGACGCTCATCGATGCTGCCGCTTCGACAGCCTTCGCCGCCTTAAGGCCGACACCATCCAGCGGCGGCGGCAGCGGTGGCATCGCGAGACATCAACAGGGAGGAACGGACGCAAGTAGGTCCTCCGCTGCGACGCGATTGGGCAGCATCGATCCGGTGCCCCCTCACGAAGACGAGAGAGGCGGACGAACAACGTTTCCAGGGCGTCTGTTTTCGTTCGGGGCGATCGCCGACGTCCAGTATGCTGACCAGGATGACGGGTGGAACTTCACGAAAGACCACAGGAGGTATTACCGAGGCGGGCTGCGGCAGCTGAGGGGGGCGGTCGACGTGTGGCTGAAGGAAGAAACGCACAGGTTGGCCTTGGTTGTTGTTTTGGGGGTAGAGGTGTTTCTGCCGTCGAGCTTCGGGCTATATCTTGTTCATGTTTTTTTCCTGTTGTGAGTTCCTGAGTTCTGTTTGGTGGGGGTTTCCCGTACCCTCTACACGCTTTCACCATCCACAGGCGCCCACCGAGCACGCTGTGAAATCAATGGTAGGCGTGTGGTAGCTGCTGATATTAACGCTTTTCCAGGCTATCGGACCCCGTCGTATGCTCGATGACCATCGATCCAAGACTAGCTAAACGTTACCACAACCATGTACCGCCTGACGCATCACAGATTCGTGCTGCAGCTGGGAGACGTCATCGACGGGAGCAACAAAGCCCACGGGAAGTCCGAGACGGCACTGAGGAGCGTCAAGACGGAGGTTGACCGCCTCGCAGCCTCGCTGCCCCTTGGCGTGCTCAACAGCCTCGGCAACCACGAGCTTTACAACTTCCCCAAGCAGCGCTGGGCGCGGGAGGTATTTTCAATTTCCCTTCGGGCCAATCCAAGGGTTCGACATTCGCCACCCTCGTTGGGGGACAAGGAGCACTTTCCCTGCATCCACATGATAGTTTTCTCCTATTCAGAGCTGTGTACGAGATACGGCAGTCGGTCTCTTGTTGACACCATCCTGTCTGCTCCGTATCAAGCCTCTTTGACCTTCTTGCGACGCTCGACACCATGCGCCGAAATTCCCATCTCACCCACCGACCCCCGGTCCTCGCTCGTGACGCGTCAGCTGGACTGCTCGAGCCGCGCCAAGGCTGTTACCCTCCGACCCAGCGCTCCCGGTGCCGGCGCAGCGGAGACGATTCCGACGCCCGTACCGTCCGGGCTTCGTCCGGAAACCGACAGCGACCAGCCTGCGGGACTTCCCCCCAGTGGCGAGCCGCTGATCCTGGAAGCCGGTAGAGGGGCTGGGTATGAAGGTAGAGGAGAAGAGGCAGAGTGCTTCTACTACAGTTTTTGCCCCGTGGACTCTTACCGATTCATCGCGCTCGACTCGTACGACGTCAACGCCATTCGGGAGGAGCCGCGCCCTGATGGGGAAGATGCTGAGGGTAGCGGAAAAGACGAGGCGGCCGCGGGTGATGGTGGGGGCGATGAAGGGATGCGGGTGCTCTTAAAGCACAATCCGAACACGAACAAGAACGACGGGGGCGGGCTGGAGGGTCTGACGAAAAGGTGACCTTAGGCTAGCAAGAGCTTGCCAATGTCTCTCGACGTACCTTCCTGAAGATGGGTTACTAGGAGCAGGAGGGGGAAGGCTAAACGAACCAGGAGCGGTTGCACCGGGATGGCGATCACCCGATCAAAACATGAGCCACCCGTAGCGCCCCGTCCGGTCGTTTCTTGGTTATTGCGCTAGCCAAAGCAATGTCGTTCCTGCCGTTGTTTGACAAAGATTTGTGCAGTACAACGGCGGAATAGGAGCCAAGCAGCTTCTCTGGCTGGAAAACCAGCTCACCGAGGCAAGCCGGGCGGGCCAGCGCGTCGTTGGCTTTGGACACGTTCCCATACATCCGGCGGAGCCAGGCCCGCACACCCTTATCTGGAACTACGAGGAGGTGGGTAGTATGCGGAAACGGCAGTTTTGCTTTGAGCGGAGATGTGCGGTGTAAGGCGAAAATAGTACGATACACATACGTAGGCTTGTTGAAATCTCGACATTACTGCTGTGTCTGGGTTAGCGTACGTTCTGCTGCATCATCACTGACATTCACGACTATTTTTTTCGCTTCCACTTTGAGCAACTGCAGAATGTTGAACGATGTTCACAGGGCGCAACTCGTCTTTGCATTCGAAATCCAATACCAGGGCCACACCTATCGAGATCACGTGCAAACTTCCCACTCACTTCAAACTCGCTCTCCCTTCGCCGATTCACCTTTTTTTCAAGGTGTTAGCGGTGATGCACAAGTTCGACTGTGTAGCGATGTTTTTGTCAGGCCATCGCCATAGGGAGACGTACTTCAGGGACGCAAATGGGATCCACCACATCTCGTTAGCCGCCGCGCTCGAAGCCCCCTCTGATCAGGTGAGTCCATTGTGATGATATGCTCGTCGAGCGCTTGGTGAAGGGAGACTACTGGTTTTGCCCGTCCAATCGACCCCTCGCTGACGGCGCACTCAGCACTAGTCGTGTGCTTTCATATACATTGCAAACCCTGCCGTCCACTTTGTGCAGCAGATATATGCAGTCTTGTCTTCCATCTATCTCGCTACGTTTACTCCCCGTTTCGGTCGTCCTCGCCCAGCTCCAGCGCTCATGTGTCGAAGATGTCCCCAGAGGAGACAATCCGTGCGAGGAATAGAGAAGCGTGCTCATGAAGGACAAACAAAACTATGCTCGCGAACGCCCGTAGGTTGTCCCACTTGAGAAGGGTGTAGCGTCAGCAACTAAGGAAAAGGCTATAGAAAGCTCACGAAACCCTGAAGCGGCCCGACAACCTCTTGCTTTTTACATGACAGGAGGCTTTCGCGAGTGTCGATGTGTACGACAGTTGCTTGGAGCTTCGCGGTCACGGGGTAGTGGAGAGCCGTGTTTTGGATCTCGCTGTTCCCGCGAAAGTATCCTAGGAGCCAGCGGCCCGAATGACCTGTTCTGTAGAGCGGCGCACTTCTCTTTCGCGTTGCCAGATATTGTAGAGGTTAAGCTTCTCTTTTGTCGATCGTGGCGGAAGGTAAACCGTTGTTTGTTTGCAGGCTGGCGGTGGGGCGGATGTGTGGTTTCCCTTCGAATAAGAGGGTTCTTTCGTTGCGCCTGTCAAGGCGAAAGGCGGCGAAATATGGTCACTGGGGTAATGATAAGCTTCTTTCAACGCCGGTGCTTCCACAGATTTAAGGACAAACGTTGTCCGCTTCTTATTATAGTGTCTAAAGCGTTGCACGCTAAGTCTGTGTCCCCAGTTTCAACAACGGCACGCAGGGCTCGCGACCGCAGACTCTCGAAGAGGCAGCATGAAGCGCACCATCTGTTTGTCTTTCGACTCGCTTGTGCCATGGGTGCGTTGTCGGCAACGTCGTGCCCCGGGTGAATCTGTGGAAGAGCGAAAGGAACATGCAGCTCAGTGCAGAATTCAATATCTCCATCTACACCGCCAGCTCGAGACAGTCCACTCGGTGCGCGACGAGACCACAACGTCCCCGCCCCTCACTCCCCACATACTGAACAGCTATGTGCTTTCCCTTGCCATGGGGCGGCCCTCATCCCCGCGCGGTCCCAAGCAGCGTTGGCGGTGCATACCACTGAGATACGAAACCGTTGCGAGCCTGCAGGCTTATAACCATCTGTAACCCCTACAACAAACAAAGCATGCTCCAGACTCAGGACCAGGGTTGTAGCGCAGCAGTGCGTTTGGCAAGCCGCAGATAGATGTGAAACCTTCAGATGTTGCCGTTGCCCTGTTCCCCTTGGCTTACCGAGATGCAGACGGGCGTTCGATAGTCCCCGTGGTCTAGTCTATGTTGTAGGAAGTATGCGTGCTGTCTCTCTTCCCGGTTTGGGTAGTGAGTCGAACAGAACAGAACTGGGATCCCCCAGGTTTGATACACGTGTTGTCATAACAAGGGGTTGAAGAGGCAACTGGACCTTTGTCATCTCGTCATATATTACAGCAGCATACACGCTGCATTGTGGTACCTTGCCGTTCTCGGGGGCATTTAGTCTAGTCGGAGGCATATCTGAACCCCTAGAAGACAAGGAAGTGAACAAGCTGAGCAGCTTTGAGGTGGCATCATTGCCAACTACGTAGATGGTCAGCTCATGACTTGGTCTCTCAACAGACACGCTGCGGAGCTGTCGTGATAATTCGTACGCACGTAGTTGGAGATTGCAAGACGTAACAGCTCTACAAAAACCAGCTTCCATGACTTATAGTCTCACACGTTTACAAAGAAACATCCTATTTGGAGAAACGTGGACGCAACCTGTGTTCCCGTGTTCTCGAGTTCACAGCAGGACTCACTGCTGTCCTCAGCGTTTTGCCCAGCAGGTCACAAACACTGTGAGAGATGCCTACGATCGATATGCTCGGTGGACGACGCCGATCCCACGTCATCACCGTTGTCTTCATCCTCCCACAGCCGCCACGCTTGTTCGATCTCTATACCGTCCTCATCGCCGTCGTGCTCCATGTTTACCTCCCCGCCAACGCCCAACTTGTCTCGGTGACAGCAACGATGGCGGCGTGAGCACAATGGCCCGTCTTATCCCTTGGTCTACTGTCACCACACGGATTGCTGTTGTTCGCCTGCAGTAGGCGCCAGCAAGACCACATCAAGACGGCCGCGAAAAGTCAATCGGTTGTCGTTGAGTCGGGCATTCGGGTGCACGCTGGGAGGGTTTCAGGATTGGTCTCGCCTCGAGGACCAAAGGGGTTCAAACCTCCGAATCCGCTAGATCTCAATACTTTGCATACGGCCGCCGGCATAACAACAGCCGGCTCAAAAATGATAACCACAAATTCACACCCCAGTGGCAGCATATGTATCTTTGGGTGTTGGCGTTCGTGAGCGCAACACCTCAACCTAGTCAATTTTTCTTGTATGAGAGCCATCATTCCCGTCGGTTCCGCGGCCACGGTTTCAACAAGTCCTCACACGCAGGTACCCTAGCGAAGCCAAAGAAGCACCGGAACCATGCCGACATTCAACCACCGCAAGTCGAACCCAACCCTTTCGCCCACCTTGCACTGGAACATTTTGCTCCCGTCCTTGTCGTCACACTTCACATGCGCCCACTCTCCAACCACTTTACGGTTGTTTTCAAGGCCGTCCTTTATCCCGAAGTACTTCGTGCTCCCGAGGCCGACAAGCACCAGGACGCCATCTTCCGCCGCCTGATCCGCGCGTGCGTGCATGGCTCGGGTGGTGCCCTCGCTGAACGCTCCTGCTGGCACTGCTGTGGTCAATGCGTATCGAAATTCCTCTGCTGAACGCAGGGGATCTGCTTCTGGTACTGGCATAGATGATCTCTCTGCCTCGAGCACGACCTCTGCATGGCCACAAGGAGCCGGAAGTGCAGAGTCCGGTCACCAGTGGCTGCAGCTGAGGCTTGAGGATTCTTGACGCTGCAAGGTAGAAGCGGCAAAATTGGCGTGATCGGACCGAGTGTGAGAAGACAAGTTGGTGTGTTCAAAAACGAAAGTGGAACGGTTCGGCAAAAGTACTTACAAGCACGATTTAGTGACATATTCAACGAAAGCGAACAGGTAGCGAAGTCAACCCAAACGAGCAGGCTCGTCTCTCTGCACATTAAAGGGCAGTTTAGCCAAACTTGCAGCGACGAATTCCGCGGACACCCAATCACCGCCTGCAGTTCTTCCGTGAGCACATGAATTCGTCACCAGTTTTGATCACCGCCACCCGCTGAAGGCCGACCGATGTGCACACCGAGTATGTGTTGCCCGCCACCCCAGTTGGTGTTGCACTGGGAGTTGTCCTTGCGACAGTGAGGGCTGGACGTGCCCGCGCCGGGATCTCGAAAATGCTCGTGCCCACAATGCGCGACTTACCTAGCGCAGATCGCTCCAATGCCTTGACGGGGCCTCTCCTGACCCTTTTCCGGCTTTTAGGCGGTGAAGAAAACGTGACAGGAAGGGGGACACGGGGTGGATGGGCACCAAATGTGCGCACCACGCATAGATCAAGCTCGACAGGGTACCGCCGATCGATGTACGAGAGGAAGAGGGTGGGTGAAAACGGGCTTCGCCGTTGTTGGACGGTACAAGGACAAGACCAACTTTACCGTTCCAAGCGTCATAAACTTGCCTCTTTCGGGAATTTCTCAACCGCGCCGATACCACCACCAGGTGTGTCCCTTGTTCCCATGGTTCTTCCGGGGCTGGCAAATATTGCATGTGGCAAATTGAATGGTTCTTCAGGTGCACGACTGATGTTACATCCAACTATCCATATTTCAAAAAGTGCCGAAGCACTCACCCCACCTCATCCATTCTACCCAAGGGTCTCTCGCTTAAGGAGGAGATTTTTCATCGATGCAACGCGACCCGCGAAGTGAGCGCGGAGGTCGTGTGTGAGAAATGGCTATTGGCCGCATGCAAGCCAAACCATTCTTTTTCTGTAGTTCTGTCTTTTCACATTTCTCGAAAGAGCTCAAGGATGTCTGTCCTTGGGAATATCTGTCTTAAATGATAGAATCACTGAGATCCTGTATGGACGATGTTACAGGATATTTCTTACCTGACAAAAAACACATCCTTCACCTGTCGCACGGGCAACACTGCTTTCCTCGGTGTAGGCAGCACAAAAATCCAATAAGTCCAGACGCTTCCGTCCATTCATTGAAGCAACTCTTGCACAGCCAATAGTTACATCTCTGATTCCGGCCATCCGCGCAAGCATACTTTATGCCTTGCCCGGGTTCATTCGTCCTACACCCGTGGCAGCTTTTGGCTTGTCCACGTAGCTGGCCTTTTCGCCTCCCTCCCGTCGATACGGTGGACGATATGCCGAGAACGGCAGCCGCCGGCTGTCTTTTGCTCTCAGGCTCCACGGATGAATTGAGGTTCTCATGGACAAACGTTCCCGCCTTTCTGCTTTCCCCCACACTTGCACTAGTACCTGTGGTCTGCGGTGCTGGGGCCGTGCGTATCGGAATAAGCTTTGGCATGGCAAGCGGCGAACGCCGTTGGTTCGCGGCCGGGCGGGGGGCGATGTCGGCTGCCGACACGGTGGCCGGAGACACAGGCGCCGTCCTTGCACCACACGCCACCCGAGACAACGAAGTCGGAGACTCTGGCGCACGTTCCAGGGTTGATCCGCCAACGCCCGTGCGCGCGCCCCAGCGGGGGGCGATGCTGGCGGCCGACACAGAGGCCGGGGATACAGGCGCGCCTCCCATGGTTGATCCGCCAACGTCCGTGCCCAATCCCACGCTGCTCCAGCCGAACAACCCCGCACTAAGGCCGCCAGCACCAGCTGCCGCAGCTCCATTTCCGTGGAACCCCCAGGACCGCCAATGCATTGAGTCCCTGCCCCCCGCGCCCTCTTCCAGACGATCTGAACAGCTGTTAGACGCGAAACCAGTACACCTCCGTTTCCCTCCTAGCCGAAGACGTATTCTGATTGTTCTAAGCTCCACTCCGCCCTGACCCTCTTGCTCCGAATGCTGTAAACCTGCATGCTCGACCGTGCCGCCCACGGTTCCCAATGATGCCAGAGATTGATCCTGGGGTCACAATGCAGGAGTACGGGGGGGAGATGGAAAGCTTAAGTACAGTAGTGCGTCCCATGAGGAGGATGTATTCATTTGAGAGCGTGGTAGCGGAGAGAGGCCACAGCGCGACGAAAAAACGTGGCGCATCGCGTGCCTTCTTGAGCACCTCCGTAAGGTGGTGTGGAATCGAAACAACTGTAGACTACACTGTAGTGACTAACCTGCTTTGACTAACTGAGGGATACCCGCTGTAGGTACAAGTCACCCCGCAGCTCGCAGAGTGAGTCGTTTTGGAATAAGACATCCTTGGCTATAATTTCCGTATCCTTCGTCACTACCACCATCTTCCTTTTCGCTCGCCTCACTCCTGAAATCCCAGCCTATTGGTGAAGCCTAGTTTATCGGTAAACCGTGACATTTGAAGACATCACGCGTACGGAGAGAAACCAAGCTATACTGGTAGCTCGAATGGGAACTGTCTCCGAATCCTGTTGGCGTGGAAGTCTTGAGGTGATAAAAGGTTGCGTGTGGGGTGTGAACCGGCACTATTGAGGGTTCGGTAGTGCCTGAACCGGCAAAAAAGCGGACAGCCCTCAATGGTGCCGGTTTGGCACTATTCAGGCCTGTGTCTGTGTCAAGAAAATTTACCGGCACCATACCGGATGTGGAACTATTCAATCGGCACTATATCGGGACACCTACTGTACACGACTCACACTACTCTATCTTCCCATCTATACGGACGCGCTGTGACATCATTCATTGCCGTGAAACCCCACAACGGTGAACC